ACTATGATATTATCCAGTTGGCCTTCAAGTAGTCACTGAATTCGTTAGAGAGATACTCGCCACCTCGATCTGATCGAAGGGCCTTAATTTCTCTCCCTAACTGTTTCTCGACTTTTTGTCTAAACTCCTTGAACTTTTCAAAGGATTTGGACTTCTGTCTCATTAGGTACACGTAACCATATCGTGAGTAATCATCGGTGAAGGTGATGAAATATACGTGTTGGTTACGAGTCCTAACACTCAAGGGACCACATACATCAGTATGTATAAGGTCAAGCGTGCTTGTACATCTTTCAAGCTTACCGTTAAATGGCCGTTTTGTCATCTTACCTCGGAGGCCAGGCTCACAAGTGGGAAGATCTTCTACGGTTAGAAAATCCAAAGGACCATCCTTTACCAGTCTTGTGATTCGGTCAATATCGATATGGCCAAGTCGGTAATGCCACAGGCATGTGGGACTAACTAGATCACGAGTTCTTTTCTTGGGGATTTCGACCGACGTAGTTTCAGTTAAGTTAGTTTCTAGAGAAGGATGTAGAACATAGAGACCGTTCTCCAGTTCCCCGCATGCGATGAATTTATTGTTCCTTTTGATAGTAATCATATTACTAAAATAAACAGTATATCCATCAGCATACAGTTTAGAAACATAAATCAAATTTCTTCTTATGTTTTGTACATAAAGACAATCCTTAAGTACAAGTATTCCTTCTCTAAAGACTAATTCTACGGTTCCTATCGCCGTAGCTACAACACTTGCAGAAGTCGCCAAGTAAAGTGTCACTTCTCCTTCACTCAGCCTTCTGCTTACTTTGAACCCCTGCAGTGAATAATACACATGAGTTTAAACCCCGGAGTCAACACACCAGGACACAGAAGCAACTAACAGATTAGTTTCTATGACACAAGTTTCGAAATTACCTTTCTTAGATTTTAGGTAGGTAGGACAGTTCCTCTTCCAGTGGTCGGCTTGCTTGTAGAAGTGACGGGCATCGGATGCCTTGTCTTTCTTTTGCTTCTTAGATTTAGTGGCCTTTTTCTGGGGCTTTCTCTTTGCCCTCCTCTTCTTGCCAGATTTGCCAGCTTCAACAAGCATGGCTATCGGCTCATCCTTTCTAATCAGTTCTTCGGCTCGTTGCAACATATTGCTGAGCTCTTGAACACCGACATTCAGCTTGTTCATATTATAGTTCATAATGAACGGATTGAAGGACGAAGGCAAGGAGTTAAGAATGGTGTCTATCTGTGTGACCAAATCTAGCCCGGACCCAAGGGCCTCCAACTCGTTTATGTAACCCATCATCCAAAGACAATGGTCATGCACTTGTTGCCCCTTGGTCATCTACGCGGTCATGAATTGCTTCATGACCTTTTGGCGAGTAGAACGGTTCTGCTCTTCGTACATAGTTTTTAGACTATCCAATATGTCTTTGGCGAGTTCGATCTGATTGAACTGCCTCTGTATCAGATTATCTAAAGAGGCTATGATATAGCAGCGGGCTAGGGAGTTTTTCTCCTCCCACTCTTGGTAGTCCCTCCTGTGGGCTTCTGAAACCCCGTCTCCCGGACGATCCGGTGCAGGATTCTTTGCCACTTTATCTAACTTTTTTGAAGTCAGGACCAACATAAGGTTTCTGTACCAGTTGGCATAGTTTGGGCCCTTAAGCTTATTATCGTCGAGAAGCTTTGCAAATTGACCGTTTGCCATTTTCTGGTAAAACAACAAAACGTTAGTCCACAACCTTAGTTTGATTCATGTTACCTACATAGATATGGCTCTTAATCTATGTTCCATTTCCATTTGTTCATCTCTGAGATTTCCCTCCCATCTCAGTGACAGAGACGACGAAATGTGGGAATTCACATAGGGTGCATGGAGCCAATTGTTTCAGCTGCATAACCCCACCACCTTTCCGTGAAGGATCACATCCACTCATCGTATGAGTTTTCCCTTTAGCCTCGGTCAGACAAGGTTCATAGCCATTTTAGGGTAAACCTTTCTGTCCAGTGAGTGCTCACCCATCATATTCAGTTTACGCCAAGGTACCGTGAGAGAGTTCCCATTTTCTAGTGAAACCCCTCCCACATCGGTCTATGACGCCCCTATCATCTTATGAAACACTCTGACAAATCCAACAGCAAATGGATAGCCCAATTTTATGGTGCGTTTTCTCATTACTGAAGGACCCATCATCGTGCTAATGACAGAAGGCCTTTAGAGTTCATCACATGAATCTCCCTATCACATGCACTCATATTGCTGGAGGGAACAAAATTTACGCCCTAGTTAATTTAGGTCAAGCCAAAGTGGCTCCCATCGACTTTCATAAAGTCAGATTTCTGGTGGCCCAATTCGGCTAGGGTTTCCGCACGTGACCCCTTTTAGGGTTGTGGGGGCCACCACGAAGGGAGGGGTCATCCAATGATCGTAAGGGACACCATGGCAATGCTGTGCATTCATCCATGGTGTGTGCAAGAGCCACTATTATATCATCATGGGCCAAGTGCTTATGGCCCATGGTCGCAACACATCAAACATCCATATATCACATGAMATGGAAGAATTGATCCAATCAATCAATCGCTGTAAAGCCCATTAACAAGCCCATTAAAAGTCCATAATATTAACAATTAACATTATCTAGGTATAGGGGCTGAATAGCAGTTAGCAGTTCGGCCCATATAGCTTCCGCACAAAAGTGGGCTTTTGCAGTTTTAACTCTTTAAAACTGGGCTTTACAGGTTGGGCCGAATTAATTCTTGCAATTAATCATTAGTTTCAGACCTGAAAGTGGGAGAAATCAGGACTGAAAACAGTCTCCTTCGAACCCTAGATTCGGTCCAAACAGTTTTGGTCCAATATGGTCCTAATTTCTATTAATTAATTACAACTTGATTGAATCCTATACATTCAGTCTAGAAAAATAAAAAAAAAATTATTTACAGACCGAATGAATAGAAAACTGCAAAAAGAATGCGCAGACATTCTGTGCTAAATCTGCATCTCGATCTCCAGGTACGAACAACCCAATAAATCAAGAAATAAATAAAGGACAATTCTAAATTAATTTCAGATTTACAAAATTAATTTCGGATCAATCGCCCCACATCCAGAAACAAATTTTCTAGAAATAAAAACAATCTGCGCAAATCTGGGTAGAACACCTTCTGCCCATTTGCGCAGGTTCAGATATGATTTTATTTGATTCAAGATTCGAAACTGCTCTGATACCACAAAAAGAATGGTAAGATCCATCATATGGATGCCAAAAAGGGTTGCGGAATGAGTGGGCGAATTTCAAAAATTTATTTCCATTCTTCCAATTGGGAATCACATTCCTTGAATTATTCAGGATTTATCTTGAATCAAAACTGAACCAATTATGAACCAAAAAGAGAAGGGAAGGGATATACCTGATTCGGAGAAGCAGTATCTCCCAACGTTGGTGTTCACGCCCAAAGAGGATCCCAAGAACTGCTCCCACGGAAGATGACACAACGATGATGGAGCAGAACCAGCAGTGTTCGTCCCACGAACCAGGTTCTTCTGAAGAACTCGATGGAAGCAGAGAGCACCACACAAAATCAAGAACTTTTCTTGATCTTCCTTCACAGAGAACTTGAACTGGCAGTAGATGGCGGCGACTGCTGGAGGAGAAGGCTAGAGAAGAAGATGGCGAACTGCTTTTTCCTCTTCTCTAGGGTTTCTGAGATCCTATCTCAAAGTTGCAGAGTAATATGCGAAATCCCTAGGGATCAAATTCTTGTAATTCGAATTAGGGTTTCTCCTCTTTTCTTTGTGATTAAGAAACCTCATAATCTCATTAGGAGTTATCCTAATCCAAATCTGTATTTGGATAAGGAGTCTTCTTAATCCTATCTGTAGATTAGATCAACCCACTCTTGATCTTATCAGGAGGTTACCAGATTCAAATCCTATTTGAATTTGGTCTCCATGAGTGGATAGGGTTAAGACCCAATCCTTTTTGGCTTAACCTAATCTCA